TGAGGCCTCTGACGTCCCTATCACCCTCTAGGGTGAGAGAGGCCCCTCTTCCAACCTGTCTGGGGCCTTTCCCCTCCCTACAGCCCAGCTTAGGAAACAAATGCTCCTTCCAGCAGCAGACGGCTGTAGAGCCGGGATTCCAGGCAGCTTCTGAATCCAGCTCCCGGGCCACAGATCACAGGGCCAGGACGGGAGCCTCCCACACAGAAGCCAGGCAGCAGGACCCCGGGTACGTTCCTCCACCAGCCTCTCCCTCCGCCCTCCCAGCTGGGCGGCTCTGTTCTCGATGCTTCCTGATTACGGGGAAGTCTGCAGACCCACGAGAAGCTTGAAGCCTCTGAGTGGGAGAACCGGGTCTGCGGGGGGGCTCGGGGGACCCTTCTTCCCGATGACGTCTGAGTCACCATGGTGGCAGCAGCTGACGCTGGCCCAGCCTGGCTCCGGGGAGGGCTTCTCCAGGTCCTTTGAGACTCCCTTCCCCTCTCCTCGCCTCTTCTCCCTCTCTTCCCCACACCCCTGCTGCCTGCAGTGTGCAGAGCTCCCCCACCACACCCCACCTCCATGTCTGCTCCCACGCTGGGAAGTCAGGTCCAAAGGACAGAACCAGCTGCCCAAGTCCCCTCCACGTCTGAACACGCACTGCCGTGTCTGGACCCAGAAATTCATACTCGGATTTTGTCCGGCATTCCCACTCCCTGCCCTGCTCGGAGAGGCAGGACCACAGGTCTGCCGGCCACAACAGCAGCACCACAGGGCCCGGCACAGAGGCCTGCTGGTCGTGCATACAAAGCACCCAGCGGCCATTATCATTCCGGAGCCGGCCAGAGCCTCCCGGCTGCATCTCATCGGTCATTCAGCAGCCCGTAATGACTTGTCAGTTCCTTGCCCTGCCATTTTCTGTCTAATTAATTCTTTTATTGTGCACCGGATAAAGAAAGACAAAGGCCTCACCGGCAATAATGATTCATTAAAATGCAGCGCCTTCGCCCGTGCTCCTGGCCCAGCACCAACCCGGCTGCCCCGCCCCACTGTGGGCACAGCCGCCCGCGCCCCTTAACCCTTTGTGGAGTCTCCTGGGCTGGGTGCCCGGCCTTTGCCACGGCCCTGGGGGAGCAGGGATTATGCAGCTGCCAGCTGCCCTGGGGAGAAGCCGGGCCTGGGCCCGTCTGGGCGCTGCCAAGGAAGGGGGTCCTGGGCGTCTATGCTTGTCCATGGCAGACCTCAGTGGGCCTGGACCTGGGAATCCCGGACGGTCCCCTGGCTGGAGCAAGTCCCCCAGTCCTGGCCCTGGGCCCATGGGGAAGGCGGGGGCCCGGGAGGGTGGGGAGGAGCGTCTGCCACACACAGGACCCAGGGTCCTGGGACAAGTCAGCTTGAGATTTGACCAACAAGAGGGGTAGGATCAGTGTGCTGGCCACAGCCACACCAAGCCCAGCTCAGTTAATCCCTGGGGCAGCTCAGCAGAGCTCTCTTCGCCTCAGGGTCACGGGGGAAACTGAGGCACAGGAGGTCAACTGGCAAGCAGCCCATCCTGCCTTCCCGCGGGGTGGCTGTGTGGATGCCCCGGACACAGCAGGAGGCAGCAGGAGGGGCGCCCACTGGATCTGAGTCCCGGGGCTGTGAGGCTGGGGAAGAGGCCGGCACTTCCTTCGCCAGTTTCACTTTGATTTTCTTGCTGCCAAACCCACCTTATTTTGCCGATAAGCAAAAGGGTCATCATGTGGCCCGAGGTGGTCATAATACCACCAAGAGCACGACGGCCCGTCAGGCACCTGGGGGCACTGCTGGGGGAAGGCCCTGCTCTCACCAAGCTCCCCAGAGCTCCAGGGTCATTCCCATCGTGCCGGTGAGGAAGCCCAGGCCCCGGAGGAGGCCATCTGCCCCAGAGCCGGAAAGCAGCAGCAGAAGACACGGGGCTTGGCCCCACACTGCTCCGCTCCAGGACGGCCCACCCCTCTCCCCGGAGGGCTCCTGCCACCCTGGGAGCTCCACAGCTCCCACAGCCCATCCTGGAGACGCAGTCTATGCTTCCTCTAGAACACAGGGGACACCAGAATGAGAGGGGACGCCGGGGACGTTAGATGATGCCTCTGAACGCCAGATGGGAGGTGGAGGGACAGCCAGCTCCCCCTTCCCTTCCCTCCCCTCCCCTTCCCCCAGCTCTTGGAAATATTGGGGTTCCCAGGTGGTAGGCCCGGGTGGGTCCCTGCAGCTCCCAGGCAGCCAAGGGCCAGTGAGTAATCAGGAGGCCATAGCCCCCTTGTCTGCAGTGGCCTCAGGACTGGGCCGGCAGAGCCAGGCTGTGGGAAGCAGGGGTGGGGCCTGTGGTCCCAGGAGAGAGAAGCACGTGTCGTCGCTGGCAGGGCCTGGGCAGCAGGCGATCTGAGCCTCTGGCTTCCGTCACCTGTCTGAAGCCCCTGCAGTCCTGCAGGGGAGGTCCAGGCTGAGGCTTGGGTGCAGTCCTGGGTCCTGCAGGAAGGGCCCGGCTGAAGCTTGGGGGCAGCGCTGAGCTGCGTCTCTTTTCCTCAGGGGTGCTTCTTTGCCTGAGTCGCTGGGGGGCCACCCATCTCCATCTGGGGTCTACACTGCCCCTGAGGGATTCAAACCAAGTGCTGGCTTCGCTGCCTGAGACTGGGTCCTGACTGGCGCAGCTCTGCTGTGAGCCCGGTGGAATGTGCCCTGCGGCCGTTCACACAGCGGCTGTCCACACTCGAGACAAGTGTCCAGGGCTTGTCTGGAGTCTGGTGGTCATGGCGTCACCACAGGAAGCATGACCCCCAAGCCTCTAGCCGCAGCCCCAGCAGGTCCAGAGCAGCCAGAGACGGGGTCAAGAAAGGTCCTCTGTCCTGGGCTGGGGAGGTAAGACTGGGGTCCAGACAGCAGGCCAGGACCCCGGGTCCACGACACCCAGCATTCCATGGTCCTGACTGTGGCCCAACGGCACAGCATACCGAGCGGGCCCCTGAATCTCACTGCCCAGGAGAGGTGGGCAAGTGGGACCTCAGGCCCCTCCCAGGCAGTTGCTGGGAGGACACAGGCCCTCTTGGGAGGGAACAGCCACGCAGCTGTGAACTCACACCCACACCAATAACCTGGTCCTAAGGCCGCTTCTGTCCCAGGAAGACCAGAGGGGCTTTTCCAGTCTTTCAGAATCCAGGGCGGATCACCAACGCCATTTCCCCTTTCGGGGCTGAACAGGGCCTTCTGTTCAGCTGAGATCAGAGGCAAGGCTCTCTGGAGGGTGAGGACGTGGAACACGAGGAACTGTCCTGGCTGGCCTGCCCTGGGACGCAGCACTCTTGGGAGGACCGGGCGCAGGGAAGCTCGGGCTTGGGACGGTGCCAGCTTGGAAACAACGTCGTCAGCCTGGCATTCTTGGAGGACTCGTCTCCAGCAAAACCCCCACCAGCCGGAGACCACGGCAGAGTGGCCTGACCCCCGGGGCACCCACTTCGGCCGCCTCTTCCCTGCAGCACGGGGGGAGGGGGACCAGCACCTGGAGACTCCCAGGGCCAGCATCCAGTGCCGAAGGCGGAAACCATAAGCCCTGCCAGACGGGGACCCACGGAGAGGAGGGATGGGAGGAGCAGGGACAAAGGGCGGGGCTGTGCAGGGGGAGGAGGTGTCGTGCGCCCCTCAGCTGGGCAGGGTGTGGACGCGCCAGGACAGGGTAGCACTCCCTGACCTTCACGAAACTCAAGATACTGGAAAACCCACAGGAACACACCCGGGACCCAGGACAAGGACGTGAGGTTTTCCTCCCCCAGGGCACACACCAGTGAGACGCAGGGCCTGGGCCCCCAGGAGTTAACTTGCAGCAGCCCTGCCAAGTTCACACAAAACTGGCAGGGCCTCCCAGCCCCTGGGAACCTGGCAAGCCCCAAAGCGCGTCCCAGGGCAGCCCAGGGGCAGAGCTGGCTTTGCCGGCTAGCCGGACGCTGGGTTCTCCCCAGGTGGTGTGTCAATGTGTGAGCTTTGAGGGACATGTGGGCCTGGACAGCCCTTGGCTGGACACAGGATGGGCTGGGCCGGTTCTGCGGAGGCCATGGGTGTCTGTGAACCTGGCTCTCGGCACCCCTCTCCCAGCCTCCTCCTCGCCTGCAGGGCTTGGCACACCCCACCCCCCAGGCACCGTCATAAATCCGGACAGCCCCTCCCCCACTGCTCTTGGCAGGTCCTGGAATGGGATCCCCACTGTGGGGTGAGGGGCAGGGCGGCCAGGCGGGCGAGGAAACGGGTTGGGCGGCCCCCTACCCAGGCCACTCTGTTAAAATCGTAGATGCAGCTGCCTCTCGAATCCGGGTTCCTGTGAGCAGTGCATCCTCGAATTTGGGTTCCTGTGACCTAGATGCCTTGAGAAGCCGGGTCTCTGCACTCCGGGGGCAGCCCCCAGCCCTGAGACACCCCCACACCAGCCTCGGGTGCCCAGGAGGCCTGGCAAAGGGACAGGCTGCCCCTCACTGGCTGTCACTCCCACAGCCATTTTCTCCCTAGAAACTTTCCTCCAACCAGACAGCTCTGCCAGCTCCTGCAGGGGCTGCTTTCATCCACTCCCAGCCTGGCTCCCTGCCAAGGCCCGAAAGATGCCGTCGGCTTCCCGGCGTTGCACAGCCACCCAGAAACCAGCTCTGGGATTCGCCTGGGAGGAAAAACACAGCCCCGAATCGGGCCCATCTGGACCCGTTTTGCCTACCAAGGAGGCCCTCCAGGAAAGACGACGAGGAGTTCACTTCCCAGAGGCCGCGACGGGATCCGCGAAGGACACAGGTGTTTCCATTCCGACTGAAGCCTGTTGACGCTTTGTGGCACGACGGGCTGCCCCTGCCGCTCGGGCTCCGGGTGGGCTTGCGGCTGCCCTCCTTGCCGCCCGGCGTGGAGGTCACTGGGGTGAGGCCAGCAGCCGTGTGAACGGGTGGCACGGCCTGATCCTGCCTCTGCTGGACACCTTTGCCCCGGGAGCCCCAGGCTCACACAAAGCGACACACAAATTGCAGCCCACGTCCATAAAAAGCACTTTGTTTAATTTTATCAAATCGATCTGTACAAAAGTTAGCGTTGGTCAGAAAGGAGCGAAGGCAGCAGGCGAGTGAGGGTGCGTCCTCCGAACGCGGTGCCGAGGGAGACGCTGCATAAAACAGGTCTGCGGCGGCTCCCTGCCCCCACTCCCAAAGAAATAGAAGCAGAGACAGTATTTTTTCTTTTTTCTACAAAAAGGTAGGAAAAGTAGAAAAAGTAAAAAGAAGCAACTTCTCGGGTGTATTTAAATTTACAAAGTTTAAAGGCACAAGTTTGCGTGAAGTAGGCGCTATCGTATGCTCTGTGCTCGGCACACAGGGAGCAGTGCAGGTAAATCAGATATTATTCGTCTAGAACTAAGGCCCTAACGACGTTTAGTGGAGAAGGTTTAGTTTCACAGCTTGGTACGTGGCATTGGTGCCTGCGAGCCAAGATCACTTCTGAAGCTACCACTTCCCAGGAATTCCTGTGTCCTGTGTCCTAGCACGTGGCACAGTCGTGGGCAGGGACCCAGGAATTCCTGTGTCCTATGTGTCCTACCACGTGGCATAGTCATGGGCAGGGACAGAGTCCTGCTTCTTAAACCCCAAACTGATACTGGGTGCTGGGCACCCCAACCTGATCAGAGATGCCACAAGGCAAGTCCCTTCTCCTCCCTCGGATTTTCAGCTGCCAAGCTGGAGGCATGAGGGGCCCAGTCCTCCCAGGGACCTCGGGACCTCCGGGCCTTCCAGGGCGGCCTCCCAAAAGCTAAGCAATGTGATGCCGGCCAACAGCTGCAACGCCACCTCCTGCCTGCCCTCCAGGGAAGCCTCCCAGCTTCTGTTTTCTCTTAAATTCTACTCTTTGCCCAAATTACCTAATTAATTAAAGATAAAATAATACAGAACATAAATACATCTTTAACAGCTTTCAAAAGAAACACATTTAAGCTTCAAAAATAAAAATTATCAAAAACATAAAAATAAAAGAGAGACGTGTTAATCCCAGCCAGACCTTGCGTGGGCGCACTCTGCCAGCAAGGAGACGCCTCAGATCTGACAGGCGGGTCGCAGAGATGCTGGAGCAGACGCGTCCCAGAGGGTCTGCAGACGGACACCCTGGATCCCGGACAGCCCGTGCAGCCGTCGTCGAGGGAATGAGGCCGTGCGTGCAGGGGTTCTCAGCACCGAGGCCAGCCTGGACCTCAGGGCCTGGACCTCAGAGCGCCCTGAAAGGCCCCTGCCACCCCCTCCCCTTTGGTCCTTGGGCTGCGCGGCCGTTTCTCCTCCACGGAGATGCAAACCGAAGGTGCTGTTGCCGCCAGTCCTCACAGAAGAGGCACCAAACGGCGGCCCTTCTTTGTGAAATCATCCTGCCACCTCAAAAAGAAAGAGAGAAGGGAGAGAGCTCGTCCGTTGGCGGAGGTGTGGCCATCTGGAGGCTGAGGGCCACGGGAGGCAAGCACATTTCCCTGCAGACTTCAGCAGGCACTTGACGGAGCTCAGCCACCGCGGCCCGCCTGCCCTGGCCACGCACACTGGGAGGCCATCCCTGCCAGGCCGGGACAAGGCTGCCCCCCAACGCCAGCGAGTCCCTCCCTGCAGCCGGGCCCTCAGGGCCTGGTCAGGGTGGTGTACACCGGCTGGTCCCAGTGACTGGTGGGGCTGTGGGAGGGCGGCAGGGCCAGGCTGTTGAGCAGGGGCGAGGCATAGGGCCGGCGCGGCGAGTGGAAGCAGGGGTACTGGTAGAGGCCGGGCGCGTAGCCGGGGTAGGCTCCGTAGTAGCTGGAGGCCTGCAGGTCGCCGTAGTCGCCCTGTGCGCTGGTGAAGGGGCCGGCGGGGGCGGCCGGGGCAGCGCTGGCCTGGCCGCTGCAGGAACCGTAGTCGGGCGAGCCTCGGGGCTGGTCGCCGTAGTGGCCGGGGCTCGGCTGCTCCGTCTTGATGTGCGGCCGCGGGGGACCCGTCTCGGTGGGCGACGCGGAGGCTGATGGGGCACCCTTGTGGGCCCACACGGGGGACGCCCCGGCGTGGAAGTAGGCGCCCCCGTAGGCCTGGCCGGGCTCGGGCGGGGCGGGGCCGCCCAGGGGCAGGTACTGGTCGAACTCGTGGACGTCGAAGGCGTCCATGGTGCCCATGACCTCGCTGCTGAGCTCCGAGATGTCCACGTTGCTGAAGTCGATGTTCTGGCGCCCGCTGTCCGCCGGCCGGCGTCCTTCCAGCTTCAGCTCGGGCTTGGCGCCCGCCTGCTGCAACTCCGTCTTGGGGGTGGTGGGTGGGGTGGGCGGCCCGTGGGTCTGCCCTGGGGACAGGAGAGCAGGCTTCAGGGATGAATGCCCCTTCTGTGGGGCGGGTGGGGCCGGCCAGGCTGGAAGGGGAGGGACACCCGCGCTAACTGCCAGGGGGGATCAACGGCTTTTTGTTTCTTTACATTTCCCAGAAATTCCAGCAAAGTCAGACCTAGACCTCACTCCTCGGCCGAGAAAATTCCATGAAGCGCTGTGCTATGGGAAGACCTGAGGCCCCTCCCAGAGACCAAGGTAGGGGGAAGAAGCCGACAGGCCCAGCCTGGCCAGAGCTGGCGTTTACAGGGCGCTGGGGGACCACACAGACCCTGTTCCTCCCCGGGCCAGCCAAGCACTCTGAGGCTGGCGGGCGTCAGCCAGCTTGACCGAGGCCCCGGCAGGACTCCACCCTGTCAGTCTGGCCCTGAAGCCGGGGCTGCTGAGCGCCGTGTGGGCAGCGCCTCGGTGTGGGAAGAGGAGCCCACATTCGACTGAGTCCTGCTGCGAAACACCACGTCCCCGGGTCCCTGCCAAGCGAAGCTGTCAGCCCCTCAGCACTCGAGGCGGCTAAGCAGGTCCCTTGCACACCAAAAACAGAGGTGGCCAGGGCCTTGGGAGCTTTTTCAGGGGACCCGGGGAAGGCCTGGTTCTCTCGAGGGCTCCTGCCCCCCTCCACCATCGTGCACCCATCTCAGCCAGAAACCCCACGGCTGCCTCCCGCACCAGGGACCCTCAGATATGCCGGGGGTCTGGAGCCCACCTGTGTGGTCACCGTGGTGGTGCGCATCTCCAAGCCCTGCTTCGGCCTTGTACACGGCACCGCCGCCAGGGTGGGGTCCCAGCTCAGCGCCGGAGTCCGAGTCGCTCTGGCCGGCCTTCGCGCTCTTCCTGCGCCGTGGCTGGTACTTGTAGTCGGGGTGGTCCTTCTTGTGTTGCACGCGAAGCCGCTCTGCCTCCTCCACGAAGGGCCGCTTCTCACTCTCGCTCAGCAAGCTGCAGCACAGGGCAGAGGCAGGGATGGCCAGGGCGCCCACTGTGCCCTCGGCATGGGCACACACCATGGGGGGACCGGCAGCAGAGGCCACGGCGGGGAGGCTCTGACCACGGAAACCCGCCTGCCGCAGGCTCTGGGGCCTCCCGTGGCACCAGGGAGCAAGCCCCTCTGGGAGAACCGGCTGGCGGGAGCCCGCGGCGCCTGTTTGGGGAGGTTGGTATGCTTATGACAGCCAAAGAACAAGGCCCACACCTCCCATCCTTCCTCCTTCTACTTCCCCCTATTCCGGGCCGGCTGTTCCCTCCCTCTGGGGCTTTCTAAGGGAGGCGGGGGAGGCGGGCAGGACCCAGCCGGCGGTGGACAAAAGCGAGGCTTCCCGGGAACAGTGCCGGCCTCCAGCGGGCAGCTGGGCTGCTGTCCCTCCATTCCCAGACACCCAGAAGCCCTGGCAGGGCCCAGGCGCCCGTCCTCACTGAGCCTCAGGACACATTCCCTGGGACTCTTTCGAGGCTCACCTCCAACCGCCTGTGCGGCAGGACTTGGGGGAGCAGGGGTCTGCAGTCTACAGCGCCCCATGGCTGCGCCCTAGATACAGACAGAAGGCAGGAGGTGCAGATACGCAAGCTCCAAGCTCCCATCCTCCAAGTGAGGAGCAGGATTCAGGAACCAGAGCCCCCAACCAAGAGAACCATTTTAAACTCAACACTTGGTGAGGGCTGCCTGTCCTGAGCAACAAGTTCTTCACACCGCAGTCCTAATTTCTGGAAAACTGACCGGCTCCACCACGCCAAGGCGTGCACAGGCCGCATCCCATCATCTCCACTCCCGCCCTCCTTGCTTCGGACAGAGAGTGGCCAGGAGAGGGAGAAGCTGCAGGGAGGGTACTCGCAGGCAAACCTGATGCCCACCCACACGCCTGCCCCACTGCCTCCCCATGGGTGGTCCAGGAGCCAGAGGAGCTGAGCCCTTTCTAAGGCGGGCGCACCTCCAGAGAGCCGCATGCAGCTTGCGCTCGTGCCGGGTGGGTCTCCCGGGGCTGGGGCCACTGGCAGCAGCTGGAGAGTACCTCGGGGTGCCAGCCATGGCCCTCCTCAGGGTGTTCCCCGCCAGGAGAACTGGCTCCAGAGCGCACCCGCCACGAGGGTGGATACCCCAGGCGCTGCCCTCCGCGGACCCCGACTCCCATACCTGGCGCTGGACCCCGGCTGGCCAGAGTGTGTTTTTCCACGGGGATCCGCCCTGACACCCGCCCCGGGTGCAGAACCCGCAGCCTGCGTGTGGCCGCCACCTCCAGCCCCC